TTGTAACGGTTTATTGAGCAAAGGGTAGCACTCGAACGTCGGCTTCTATCTCTCATTTGTATGGCTGTGTCAGGACTGTGTCACATTCCACATTTTACATTCCGCTTCCACTTCTAATTGCACATTTGTATGCCTAATCGATCTGTCCGATTCTATTTGTTTCAGTGTCTATCGTGGAATTTGTGTGCCATGTTGTTTCATTTTTTTCGTATTTTGTTTTCTGTCAATTTCCTTTTCCTTTGTTTTTCAATCGCTTGACAGTTCTTTTCACTCGTCTTTGGCCAGGTGTCCATTTGAACGGGTTACACAAATGAAGCGTGACATTTTTTACACTTTACGTTAGTTCTGGACGTGAGTTTCCATGGTAAAAGTGGCAAAGGGGAGGACTGCACTGACCTCTTTCAAGAGTGTTTAAAAGCCTGTTTTCCTAATGGCCGGCTAAATTCACATTAATGTATCGCTACGATAAAGTGCAAATTATACGATTTGTTTTTCTCAATTTCCGTTCCCTCATTTCTTCCCGTAAAAAGATGCCTTTCATAAAACTGTGTCTCTTAGCCAAAAATACATGAAGAAGCAATAGACAAATGCTTACTTGAATACTTCTTGTATTTTGTCTGATCTTGAGAAATAGCTTATATACCTACTATGGCGGTTATACTGATTGCCATTCCAGTCATGCCAACATTATGAGCAAATTCTTTGATTGCGATTCAGAGAACGAATATCCTTTCTGTTGGTGGCTTTTGGGAATGGAGATACTCTGCATAAATTCTTAATTACTTTACAATATTCATGGTATATTGTCTTATTTTGTCCAAAAATAAAAATGAATTGCAAAAAAATTTAGCTTCAGAAGCTTTGTGTTGCAAAACATCTAAAAAAAAACTCTGAACTGCATGCGAACATTTTAAATAATATATTTAAATATTCAACTTTCTATTGGTCATCAACTAGACTTAAGCAAATTCTCGCAATAGTGATTTTGTTTTTTTGTTTATATTTGAAATTATGTCATGCGACTTCCTCTTGCTTCTTGAACCGGGTAATCAGATATGTGTTCTACTTCTATTTCGACATAAGCACTTTTCGGTTATGTCTGTCAATTAATGTGCAAATCGTACTTTCAAATTCGCGAAAAATCTGTCAAATATTTGTTGCCAACTAATCCGTTTAAATAAACGCAATAAGCCCACAGCACAGTTACATGATTTAGGCCTTTGAAAATGTCATAAACGCGTGCATGCAAAATGTAGGCAATCGGGCAGGCGAATACCTGAAAACCTAAGCAGCTTACTTTATCAGCAGCTAGCAACTAGTCCAGAGAGAGGGTATTCAAAGTAAAAGTTGCTTTGAGCCTGGGCTGCGACTGCGTGGATTGCGTGTGTGCCGAGCAGCAGCGACAAACGCTGTTCATGTAGCTCCCAAGTCGAACATGTGGTCGAAAATAGTATTCGCTTAGTCGCAGCAGCTGCCCACATGCTGGCGCAGTGCGGCTTGCGGCACGCAATTAAAATCTTCATTAGCCGCGTTTAATTTCCACTTTTGATTAAAAATAATACAACTTGAGGAAAACGAAAATCGAAAACGAATAAAGTGGAAAAACAGAGTATAAAGAATAAATACAACTTGTGACATGTGTCGCCGACTTATCTCCATCGCCGCCAGCGCAGCCGCAGCAGCAGCAGCAGCAGAGGCAAGTGGCAGCATGTGGCAAGGCAGGACTCCGGGACCAAGTCCGAGTTGGACACCTCAGGCCTGGGGGACACTCTGCCTGATTAGCGTTGGCCGTTCGATTCGCTGCATTCGGCTCGATAAGGAGCTATCAATGCGAGCCTAAGTGACAGTTGACTTGTTTATCAATTGACAGCTTTTGCTGAGGCTAAATGGCAGACACACACACACACACACACACACGCACATATACCGACTACAGTCAGAGATTTACGCTGCGAAAAGTAACTGTTAATAAGCTTGTAGCCGCGGCCTGTGAAAATGTTGCTTTTAATTAAAAGTTGTTGCCGCTTTTGCAATTGTGCGTTTTTCCCCCCGCAATCTGACATTTGTGTTTGTGTGTTTGGCGGTGGGATGGTGGGTTGTTGCGAGGGGGGAGGGAGGGTTCTGTCGGAATGTTTGTACATTTGTAGCCCATAGTATTTATACTTGTATTTTAAAGCCCGATGCTGTCAAGATAAGGAAGCCAACAGGCAGCCTCAGCGCATGTTTAACAACCCAAGTATGCAATTGGGAGAGGCAAAAGGCACCGCACACTCCAACAACACACAAGCAACAAACACTCTTGTTTTTTTTTCGAGAACATGTTTAAATCGTTATCCTACGCATTCGTGATTTTTTATAACTTTTTATATTATTTGTGTGTTCGAGAATATTTTTAAATTTTTTAACATCATGCGAAACTTAGAGCTTTATTTTGTTTAAAATGAAGTTTTGGCGAAATAAACAATATAATATATATAAGAATCTTATTACTATATATTTGCAAGTCGGATGAGCTACTTTAGATACTATATAATATAAAATTAAAAAACCTTCCTGTTAAAAGCAAACACCAATATAAATTGACATATTACATTATCTACTTTTCACATTATAAAAGTTTTTGCCAATCGATATTGCTTCTATAGTGCCATCCACTTGAATTGATGTTTTAATGATACTCTGTGAACCCGCGCGCGGCATCTCTAGATGAAACCACAAAACCTGATTCTAAAACTTTTAGCCCTTGGCAAGTTTATTGCGTTTCTGCAATTAAGCAATATTTCTTAGTCAAGTGCAAACATTATGGTGGTCACTGTGGCAGCTGAGATTAGGATTACTTTTGCAGTTCTGTGTTTTGCACTGTGTTTTGTTCTTAAGTTGTTCAAGTTTCTGTTGGCTGACCGCAGTGCAGAGGCATTTTCAGGATTTGTGACTCTGGACGTGCTGCTGCCAAGACAGCTCATTTAGACCTTAACGAGCTGGCCGAGCCACCAAGCCACAGTCGCATGTAAATCTCACAGATGGCTGCTCCACTTACGGACAACATCCATTTCCATAAATATCAATTAAGAGAAAAATATCAAAAGTGACATCGTCGGCGACAGAAACATGCAGCTTCGAGTCTCCGCCAGCTACCGGCAATCAGGGGCTACCTGTGGGGCAACCTACGCAATGAGCTCGTCGTCGTCGTCGTCGTCGTCATCATCAGCAGCCGCTTGAATTTTATATATAATTGGACAATTTAGGTGCTACTATGTTGCATTCTTGTACCCTCACTCGCGGCCACTCACTCGCCATATAGTTAATTAAATGAAAATAAAAATGTAGCAGCTCATGGTCTATAAAACCTTCCGGGAAGTTTTGAGTTCCAGTTTTGGTGTTCAAGCGTAACAGCGATGCGCTGTGGGCGTGTCAATCCAATTGAGGCCACGTCAAGGTTCAATGGGTTTCATCAACCGCTTACTGGATTCATGGATCATTCGGCTTGGTCTTCAAATTCAATTAGTCTACAGCCCCCAAAACTAACTACCACATAACTTCTCCAACGTGGCACAGCCCAACATTCCGGCTCTGCAATCGAATAAGAGGCTTAGATAGAAAATTATTAATAAACTGCTTTCACTAATTTACAGGCTAGCGTCTCATTACGACAGCCAGACTCCCAAAAAGAAAAAAAAAACCTAACAACATTTTCAGAGCTCTATTTGGCAACACTAAGCGTTCACTAAGCGTCAATATTTCATGCTAAGCCTATTAGAGATTATTGTGCCAGCTTACAAAGGCCTAAATGGCAAGTGGGAACTGCCAGCGGGGGCTGGGCACAGGCCGAGAGCAGTCTGGAGTTTATTAAGCGTTCCATTTGCATAATATGGTGACACCAAAAGAAAATGATTTACAAAATATCTAGATTTCTATCTTTTTGAATGGACAAGGCTTAAATGGGAGGCTTGTATAAATTTTCAATATTGTGTTCGGAAGAAAAATCAGGCAGGTTTTGAAAATTTACGGAATATTCGTCGCTAATTTTCAAAAATGCAACCTTAAATATTGAGCATATACATTTTTATAATTTTAACCTAAATTTTTCGTCAAGAATTGGTCTGTGTGTGTTTTGGTTAAGTCAACATTTTAAGTCCCTAGCTCTGAGTTCAGAGTTCCCTAGTACAAACACGTTCCATTTTTTGGCTGACAACAGAATTATAATTATTGCACATTTTGCCCTCCCATTATGTCTTCAATTTAACCGATGCGTTTGATAATAAATTGCTACATTTAAATTTTGAGCTTTTCATTGGTAACTAACTGTGCGAAGAGCTTTTCATAGGTTTTTAAAAACTTACGAGTTGAATATTAAAACAAATCATTTTACAACTTCCTTAGTGGGGGAGTTCAGTTTGGTCGTCGAAGGAAAATTCAGCCAAAATCAGTATCATCCACATCTAACATTCTTATATAGATAATTAAAATATTAATTATTACATTATTAATTGTAGTAATGCAATTTTAAGCCTTTAACGCAAAATTAGGCATACACAGCTGCAAAATCGATGTCGTCAACCGAATGCAATCAAAATTTCTAATTTACCTTTGCAAATTATAAACATTTAACTTGGCTGAGAGAGGCCACCCAAAGCAGGTGGATAACGAATATTTTCCACCTCATGCTTATGTGAAAAGTGGTCGTTAGCCGGAGGCAAGCAAAACATTTACACTTTATCGTGCAAACATTTCATGAATACATTTGCGCAGCAGCGTGGAAAATTGTTGGCAAACTGAAAAGTTGGCGGTCTGTTAGCCTGGAACGACACGTTAATGAAAAAGAAAACTGGTCAGGTGTGCAAGGAAATGAATCATAGAATTGGCCTCGTGATTAGCAGCGGAAACAGAAACGAAACAGGATTTATATGTGGGTCAGGTCTCTAGTCTCTAGTTGGCCAGCTGAGTCTGGCCAAGCTCCAGCAGCTGTTTGCTGTTGCAGTAACTATTTTGTGGTCAACAAGATGAGATTACAGCTCATCTGCTTTGTGGCATTGGGAATTCTGCGCTTCTGCTCTGCGAATGAGGCAGCCTTGCAGCCTGCGGTCCATGTCAAAGTAGGACCAGGCAGCTTTCTTCAGTGGCTTGCCATGATATTGTTGCCAGCTCCTCCAGTCACACCAGAGACCACTCCAGCTACCATAGCCACTACAGCCAGCCACGTGCAGGGATCCACAACAGAGCCATCATCGAGCCTTCCAATCGAGCGGGAATGCAGCAGCTGCCGCTGCGGATTGATCAACACGGAGCGTAAGATCGTTGGCGGCCAGGAGACGCGCCGTCATCAGTATCCCTGGATGGCTGTGTTGCTGTTGCTTGGACATTTCAACTGTGCCGGCTCACTGATCAACGATTTGTACGTGCTAACAGCTGGCCATTGTGTGGAGGGTGTGCCGCCCGAACTGATCACCGTGAGGTTACTGGAGCACAATCGCAGTGATAGCGATGCCCTGGTGCTGCAACGGCGCGCCGTGCGTGTGAAAGTGCACGAGCTGTATAATCCTCGGAGTCTCGAAAACGACATTGCCCTGATAAGACTTGATCAGCCGGTGAGCTTTGAGGCGCCCATGCGACCCGTTTGCTTGCCAGTGTACAGTTCCAGCTTCGAGGGGGAGCTGGGCAAGGTTACGGGCTGGGGTGCACTGCGAGAGGGAGGATTTGCAGCGCAAGTCTTGCAGGTGATTCGTATGATTTAATTTTCACTCTAACTAAGCCCAAGCTTAATATTTTCCTGCTCTAATATTTCTTGTATTTTTTATCTACATCTTTTTACCTGCAGCGCCTTAACTCAATTCGATTGAATATATCTTTATCTATATCATTCTCATCTCCTTTTTGTTGTAATTTCTCTGTCTCTGTTGCGCTCTCCTTCACATTGTTGCAGGGAAAGCCTCGCTTCAAGTTTTTTCTCTATAGGTGACACCCTTCTTTTATAGTTTTCTCTCTTGCACTTCTATTTTTCGAAATCATAATTTTATGCACCAATTCCACACCCCTTCCTAGTCCGGTTGGTTAAACTGATCTTCTTGCACACTCAACAGGAAGTCGATGTGCTCATTCTTAGCCAATCCGAATGCCGCAGCTCCAGCTATAGTCCTGCCATGATCACCGACAATATGCTCTGTGCCGGATACTTGGGCGAAGGCTCCAAGGATGCCTGCAGCGGGGACAGCGGCGGACCGCTTCATGTGCTCCTCGACGAGCAGCCGGGACAGTATCAGCTGGTTGGCATTGTCTCCTGGGGCGCTGGCTGTGCCCGACCCGACTCGCCCGGAGTTTATACACGGGTGAATCAATATCTGCGCTGGATTGAAGCCAACACCCCTTCGGCCTGCGCCTGCATGGAGTACCCCGAGGAAGACTACTAGACCAACTAATTGCACTTTGCAGCCACGTTCCGGCCAAGGCTGCAGCTCATCTGTCAAACTTTGGCTACAACAACGGCCAGTCCCAGGGGCAGGCCAAACTTTTGGCGTTGCATTTGAAAATATGTATTAGTAAATTTTGCATAAACTACTTTGGCTCACTTTGTGTGCCATTCATCTCCCAGCGGAGAGCACTCGCAGTCACACTCACACATAAGATATCCATAACCGTATCCGTATCCGTAAACGTAGCCGTAGCCGTAACCGCATCCATTGGCAAAAAAAAAGCAATTTGAAAGTGGGTTAGCTACCTTTCCCTTTCTAGCTGCATTCCCAACCCATTACCATAACCATCTACAACTTTGCTTGGATAACGGGGCCAGGGACGTGCCGCAGGACCTGGTCCAGGACGTGGCCATAGTTGTCTCCCTCATTCTCATAGAAATAAATCCCAATTTGGTGCATATCAACTGCCGCCGCATGCGAAATATTTTGTGCAATTGAGTTTGTTATGCATTTTGCATTTGCGCAATCATAAAAACTACAACAAAAAAAAAAAAAAAAGCAACAAGCCACAAGGACACGCACACGAATGCGGGCACTCGCAGGAGCAAGTTTTTCGCTCTAGATAAATTGCCCGAAATATTTGTGGCAAGTGAGTTTTTAGTTGCAACGCCATGCGATAAGCATAACTTTCCTTTATTGCCAACAAATTATTTACTTTGTATGAAGAATGGATATTCCCAGCGAGTTTTGATTGGCTCTAATGGAGAGCTATGCCTAATGCTACAACAGATAATTTGAATAAAATTAATTTATAAAGTTGAAAGTAAAAAACTTACAATTTTACACTTGACTAATCTGCAGAATTAAAAGATAGCCTGCTAAAATTGAGAAAATAGTGCGTAATAATTATTATAAAATATTCATCTATTATAAATGCTCTACTATTGTATTTACTCTAGAATTATTCCGCCAAATGCTAAGTTTTATTAAATTTACTTAGGGTTATCTTAAAATATACTGCAACCTGAATATTACTCTTCATATCAAAAAAATGGGTTTGTTCAATATATTTAACATTTTTCAATAATTAAGCAGCACTTTTAAGTTTTTGGCAGAGTGGAAAGAGTATTTTAGATTCTTTGAATATACAAATAAACTAATTTCAACAAATTAGACTGATTTATTTACAAAATTAAAATAATTTGCGAAACATGGTTCAAACAACTCCTGGACTTATAGATGTCAAAGAACAGTTGCGCGAACCTTAAAACGATTGTTTCATTATAAAATTGTTTTATTAAAACAAATTGAAACATTTTACGAACCAAGGTTCATATAATATCTGAGCTTATAGATGTAGAAAACCAGGTTCACGAACCGAACCTTAAAGCGAGGCCTTGGCTCAAAACGTGAGCCGAACCTAAGTTTTATTTGATTTGCAGCCACGATTACAATTCTGCTTTCCATTTTAAGTCCGCGGTACTCATAAAACTCTAATCCCTTTTCCATCCAAGCAAAAGACAAATTAGCAAATTTCAGAGGGGCCCCTTAGTCTCATATGTCGAAATATGCAAATAGTTTTAAAAACGTCATGGATCATTAAAACTGTTTACGACTATTAAAACTGCACATATTAAAACTGCACAAACTGTAAGCCGTTAAGAAATGCATTTATACTTTGCCAATAAATTTGTCTCACTTTTTTCACTGTGTCTGTTTTTGGGCCAGGGCACAAGCTCATAAAGATTTCCTACTCAAAGCCATAAAGCAGTCTCGGAGTCTTGTCTTAAACTTAAACTTAAACTCAATGTACTGCCGGCCTGTCTGGATTTCCAGCTAAACGACAAATAGCTTGGCATTTAATAACTCTACGGGTCTGACTTTAGCTCTCTCTTATTCTCTCTTTATCTCTCTCTCTCTCTCTCTTTTATTCCAATTCCCAGTTCTTCAGCTGCTTCATTATTATGCGACGAGTCGACTTCATTTCGAGCTGAGAGGTTTCATAATTTAAGACTGCGCTTTGTCGCAAAACGAATTTATGTGCTGAAATTAAAGCTGAGGTTGGGAATCGAATTGGATATGTGTGAGTGGGAGAGAGACAGATAGTGGGAGAGAAAGAGTAAGAGGCACGAATAAAGTGTTGCGAATGGATTTAAGCTCTTAAGTTGAAAGAACTTTGGAAAGGTAGATATACCTACCTATATATAGCTAAAAGAAGAACACGTTAAGTGTAGATAAAAAATTAACTTTACAAAAATGTTTTTAAATTAAAGATTAAAGAGTCAATAAAGTAGATGTTTTTTATTTAATACCCTAAAGCGTAATATAATTTTTCATGAAATGTGTAACGCATAGAAGGAAACACCTCCGACTTTATTACGTATGCATATTCCTGATCAATATCAAAAGCTGTGTTGATTTTGGTACATACGTCTGTCCGTCTGCCTGTTTTTATACAAAGTAGTCCCTCAGTTTTAAAGCTTCCGTCTTGAAACTTTGCGTCGGCAAAAGTTTCTGTCTGAACCTTTCGGATCGTGCCACCATTTCATCAAGTTGTCATAGGAACGATCGGTCGAAAATTAGATACTCGTATGAATAACATGTTAGTCTATCAAGAAGTCTTGACCAAACTCCCCATTTTTAAGTTTCACTTTGCCCCTTACATAGGTTCATAATCTTATCAATATCGAATCACTCTATCATATAGCCATATTAGCCTTATTTGTTTTTCAAGATATCTTGATCAAACTCAGTATTTACTAGGTAAACTATGCTACTTATAAATCTTATTAAGTTCGCATTATAAAGCTCTACATAAAGAATCGGTCGAATAGTTAGCCTTTGTATGGCAAACACGGCATTATTCTACAGGAGTATTTAATCTCCGGCATGCCGAAGATATCAATACTTTCTTCAAATTCTCCTGAATATATCACATATTCTATGTCGACCCTAACACTTAAAACTTTAGCACATCTTAGAATTTACAATTTTAATTACTTTCATAACATACGTTTAATTATTACATGTGATATACATTTTAAATGAAGCACTTCTAAATGGACAGTAAAACGCAACTTTACACAGCAAATTAGGCAAAACTTTTGCCCATCACCGCCCCCTGTGGAACTCTAGACGCATCTAAGGCCTTGGCTCAATAATACTGCATAACAGACGCCTAGCATTAAATTTAATAATCATGTGTCATGTGTACAATGATGCCCAATGATGTTCCACTAAAAACAGCCGTCAGATATTCTGGGAAGGCGAACATGACACATCTCATTATGATGTGGCTCCCAAATGATGAAGCCTCCTTTTTGGCCACAGCGGCATTTGCATGTGCCGCAGTCAAAACAGACAGACCCCGACCCTGTCCTTTGCCAGTTGTATTAGTGTGCGTGTGTGTGTGCGTGTGTCGCTGTCAGAGTATTTTGTTTATGATTTTGTAGCTGTCATAAAGTTATTAAAAGTATGTGACATTTTTATGACATTATGACGTCTCGACTCAGAGCCAAGCGATTCCCGGACTCAGATTGGGTGCCCCGAAAAGGAAAAAATGCCACTTGCTTTTGTTTTCATTGGGCGTGCAGCTTCGAGGGCCGCTGGAACAGGCCATGAAATATGATATCAAATAAAAAGCAAATTAAAGACGATAAAAATCGTGTCTCGCCTCACGCTGTGAGTTGTTAAAACACACATATCTCGTTTTTTTTTTATATATGTATTTATATATTCTCTTTTGCGAAATCGAAACCAAAAGCGACTGAAGGCGACCTGCCTTTGGGGTTTTCAAAATTGGCCTCAGATTGAAGCTGGCCGTTTCGGTAGTTCCTGTTGTTGTTGCTGTCTCTCATAAAAGTTGTAAACATCGCACTGATTGTGCCCCCGGTCTGAGTGCCTCGTCGCTGTGGGCACCAAATGCAAAGATATTTTCGGTCAGATATCACAGTTTCAGTTTTGATAGCCCCCCCTCCACTGGCTCGTTACGAGGCGAAGGCGTGTGAGATCTGATAAGCTGATAAGCGTTTTAGTGTTTCTAGCCGCATGCTATTTTCGTGCAAGGGGTCAGCATAAAAGCGCATTATAATACCCAAATTAAGGCCAATACGCCCACATTCATTGGTGATAAATCATATAGCTAAATGTTGGCACTGCTCGGTATTGGTATTGTAAAATTGTTTATTTCCATTCTTTATACCAATAAGTACATATTAAATTTCAATCCGCTTATAGTCGCCGGAGGTGTAGAGCGTTTATAACATCACAGTAATGATCCATTAGGCATGAATGGATACGATATATCTTATAAGACTTACTTTAAACAGTATTGTATTATTTAATATCCGCGAAAGCTCCGAAATGTCTTTGATATTCATGGGTGTGTTCATTTATTTCTGAATGCTTTGAGTGCACTTGAGTATCACAACTGTTCAGTATCACAAAGGGAATATAGTACTAAAAATAACATTTATAATATGTTTTAGAGATATATATATGTATATCTCTAAAAGGAATCTATCTTACTAATAACTAAATGTTAAATGTTAAACTTGTTTTATTTTTATCCTAACTGCTTTAGGTTAAACATTTTAGTGGATTTTCATTGCTTTTTTTTTGCTTTTTTTTCAATTTGTTTCTTATTAAATACTTTAAAAGGTTTCACCTGGATGGGAAACTTGGGAGTGCTCAACGCGACCGCTTCGATTTGGAGTTACGCAGATCGTAGCGACGCCGCTTGGAGACGCTCTTTGGGGCTGTTGGACACTTGAGATCCTTGTCAGCATCGCTTGTGCTGCAGTTGACATTGGGCTCGTTATCCTTTGTGTTGTTCTTCGGCTCGTCCTTTATGTAGGCCGCGGCTGCGGCAGCTGCCTGCAGCAAGTCCTCGCCGTGGTCGTCATGGGGTGATTCCGGCTGCAAATCTGTATCCGTAATTGCACATTTTCTTACCAATTTCTTTCGCTTGAGCTTTGGCTTGAGCGGCGTCGGTTCTT